GGGGGGGGGGGGGCAGAGGATGGTCATTTACAGGACAAATAAACAGAATAAGTTTATCTTTTGTTCCATCAATACCACCCACTGCCCACTTTCCCTTCCCCGACCCCCGGGGGGGGGGACTGAAATTAGAAAGAATTAATGATAACATGGCCCTGTGTGTGCCGCATGGTGAAAGTGCGTGGTACATAGTTTCTTCTTGTTTTGCTGGTGCTTTTGAGTCGTAATTTCTCTGGCTGCTCCACCGACCTTGGTGTAGTCTTGGAAATCGTACAAACCCTTAGCGGGGAATTTACCCGATTTGAGAAATTTTTCATTTCCTCCCTAAACCTGGTCTCATGGCGCCACCTGCTGGTGGGTCTTGGAATTGTCCCCTTATCATCACCGTTTCTAGTGGTGAGAGGGTCTGTCTGTCCGACCGCCACAGGCACGAAGTCGTGTTTAACCCACTTTCGCCCCTACTCCCATCCCATTTTCCAGCTTCCATATAGAAACCTCTTCTGCCGTTAGGCACATACAGAATCAGCGAGCCAAGGAGGTTTATTGGGAAGACTGTGGAAGAAGCGTACGAAGGAGAAGCATTCAGCAAGTGCGTGTTGACGCTGTGCTCACGGGCTTCTTTTAGGGGCGCGTTGCACAAAGCAGCCACACCCTCGTCTTTTCCCATTTGGCCTGTGTCATCTCGACCCTGGAAGATGTCGCCCTACCCCTAAAAGTACTGATGTCCGATAAGTCCGGGGGAATTGCTACGTGCTAATTCCCCTTCTGAAAGTCAGCGTGCAGGTTGACATTTTCAAGGCTCTGAGGTGTCTCGCGGTGCAGAATCTCTTTAATCTTGTTTAAACCAGAGATCCGCAAATTTATCCAGCATGAAACCTCCTCTTTCCGTTTTTACGTAAACAAACGTTAACACACCGCTAGTGAAGGGCCAGGCTCATCTCTTACAAGGGAAACAAGAAGTACTCCAGGAGTATCTTCATAAAAGCTACCGTTTCTTGAAGACCTACTGTGTTGCAGGCTTTACACATGAGGCACTTAAGACACATGATCTCGTTTCATCTTTAAAACAGCCACCTGAGAGCGTGTTATTCCCACTGGCAGTGAAGAACCAGAGAAGTTGAAGGGTTACGGTGTCTGAGATCAGCCATCTAGTAAGTAGCTGAGGTTCTCATCTTTCCATTCATTCATCCACTCACTCATTCGCTTAGTCGCTAGGTGTTTATCGAGCATCTATTTTGTGCCAAGCACTGTGCTGGATGGTGGAGATACACTGGGACTACTAGAAAGGGATGTTTCCACCCTCCTAGAGCTTATAGTCTAAAAAAAGAGATCACAGCTAATAATTAAATATACTTAATTTCAAATTTTGAAAAGAAAGTGTTTGTTACAGACAATAGTGAAGCAGAGCTGTTGGTTTGGGGGGATGGTAATAAAGAGACTTCTTTAGATGGGGTGGTCACAGGAGGCTGTGGCGTTTATCCCAAGACCCGAATCTGAGAAGAGGCGGCCATGCTGAGAGTGAGGGCGAATCAGTCTCCCTGGCGACATCAGCAAGTGCAAAGGCCCTGAGACGGAAAGGAGCTGGGAGGCTCAAAGAGCAGGCAGCAGGCAGTGTGGCTGGTGCATGAGGGGCTTTAGGAGGTAGCCGGGTGCTGTCTGGCTCTCCTGGCAACTTTGAGTTGGCAAGAGCAGGACTGTCCTCTCCATTTCAATGCAGGCAGAAACCGAGATGCTTGGGGGTCAAGTAGCTGCTCAGGGTCCCAGGGCTCGGGAGCGGAGGAGGTGGCATCGGAGCTCCAGTGTTCTGACGCCTAGTCGAGGGCTTCTTTCATCTGCGGGTGGGAAGTCTGCCACCATGCGTGTTTCACAGGCATGCACATGCTGTGGAAATGGCTCCTCCACAGGCTGGTTCCAGCCCACGCGATTTACGTATGTGTTTGAAGGACACTAGATCCTTGGAGCACGTGGCTACTTCGGAGACGTTAACATTGGGTTTCCAGTATCAATTCTGACACAGTCACAGTTATTTAAATAGTGACAAGTGCAAATGTTTCATGACCTCTGCCGGCCAGAGAACAGGTCTGGCCCAGGTGGGGCTACAGGCCAGTGCCCGCCTGTGACCTTTGCGTGAGCTGCAAAGAACAGAAGAGAATCTTTGGATCCATTTCCTGGCTTTAGGCTAAAACCCGCATTCAGGCGAGGCGGGGTTCTCAGTGAGCCATCGCGAGGGAAGCTGCAGGGGTTTTCTTTCCGGCCTGACCCCAGTGAGTGCTTCCGTCACTTTCCTCGCCGACCCTGAGTCTAAGGAGCTGCAGCTGGAGGTCCCCAGAAGGGCCCTGCACTTGACCCGGGACTTGGATTTTGCATTCATACCGTCTGCCTGCTGCCGGCTTCCTGCGGGAAGTTTTCCCACGCTTTACAGAGCCTCCCTGGATGTTTACTTGTAGTAGAAGTCATGAGTACAGTTTCCCTCCGCCGCCTGTGTGTACGTGTGTGTGGGAAAGGGAGTAGAATTCGTGTTCGTAGTGGCTGGGAGGCTGGAAGAAGTGGTCTCTAGGGCTGTAGGATCTTTTAATATTCAAGATTTCTCCAATAATCCTTGCTGTGGAGCGCCAGGATCTGTGACCAGAGATATAATTTTCTTCCCGGTTGACCGGGGGCGTGCAAGCACCCGGATCCGTGGTCTGTCTCCTTTGTGTTTCGGTGCTGTGACTTCACAGGTCAGCATCCGCACAGAGCCGGGAGGCGGGCACGCACGGGCGGGGACTGAGGTCTGGTGGCGCCCGGGGCTGCTGTAACCATGGCCTAGGGAATGCCCTAGGGCCCCAGGCCACCGTCAGCGTTCCTGCGTGGCCCCGAGGTTAAATACGACCTGGCCTGAGTGACTGGGCGGGGCAGGCGTGCCCAGGCCGCAGCGGCCAGTTGACCCGCGCGTCTGGTTCCCCTCTGGTCTGGGTGTCGGGCGGCTGTGGTTCTGCTCAGGTGGCCTTTACCTGCCCCCAGTGTCATTTTCTTGGCTCCCGGTAACCTCAACCAGCAGGTGGCAGTGGAACCTCTCACTTTATAAAATCAAGTGATCTCTGCTGGGACTGGCACACTAGGGCGGGGGGTCCCAGCCTCTCCCTCTTCTTGTGAGCAAAGGTGTGTTGGGACGTTCGCGCCCATCCGCCCGACCCGCGGCTCCGTGGGAACTGTGGCTGCCATTGCCACAGGAGGCAGCGTTGCAAGGAGGCCGTGGGGTCTGTAAAATCTGAAACAGTCCGCGCCTGGGCCTTCCTCGAGCAAGGTTGCCGCCCCGTCTGTGTCGCAGAGGGGCTGACGGTGGCCTTGGTGTTACCTTCCTGGCTTCGTCACTCTCCTCGTTGGAAGCTAAACCTGAAATAATAAAGGCCAGGTGGATTTTAAGTAGCACGATTTCCTAGGTGTAGTAAGTATAATATTGTCTTATTTCCGGTCAGGTTTGTGAAGAGCGTCCTGGCCACAGGTTTCCGCGGCCCTAGGATTCCGCCTCGTGTTCCCTAAATGCCCCGGGAGTTAATGAGAATGAAAAACCGAGGAAAATCGTCAGTGGTCCGGTTGTCGCCCGATGCAAAGGCCCCGTGCAGATGACATGTTCATCACACACTCTCCCAGGAACTTTGTGTGCATGTCACTGTGCTGGCCTCTGGGGACAGCCCTGGGTCCCATGTTACTTATTTCTGTTCCGCTGAAACTGTCCCTAGCTAATCTGACGGTGGCCGCTCTCGACACGCGTGTAACCGCTGTTCTCATGTTCTTTCCCGAAAAGATGTCGCCAGTCCTCTGAAGCTTCACCGAACAGAGACTTTTCCCGCCTACCGCTCGGAGCACTGACAGGCGCCGCCCAGCCCGGCTGCGTGACACCCTCGGGACGCGGCCGCCCAGACGCGCCGGAGGTCGCGGGACCGCAGCGAGAGGACGACGGGAGCGTCCAGCCCCGGCTAAGCGTGCGGTCGTGGGGAGACTGCAGTGCATTACATGTCTCTTTTCCCTTCCTTTTCTTTTTGTTCTTCCTTTTTGTAAAAAACAAAACAAAAAAACAGAACCAAAACGCCGCGTAATGGAAACACGCCCTGCAGATAGCGACGTGCCGTTCCCCCTTTCACGTCGGGACAGACGGGAGTCGGCGCCACGCGGCGGTTTTCTATTGTAGATACCACGTCCCCTGCACTTCTCAGAATCTGTCCTTTTGTGGGTTTTGTGCTGTTCCCGCCTGTGTTTCAGTTGTATCACGGTGGCACCTACAATAAAACGCCCCTGCATTATTTGCTATTTGTGCGCAGTGCATTCCTCGGTCGCCGATGCCCGGTCTGGCCCGCTCCTGGCCGTCGCGTTTTACTCTGTCGCCGGTGAGCTAAACCAGGCCTTCGACTCTCGCTTGTTAGGTTAAGAGATAATTTTTTTTTTTTTAATATATTTTTATTGATTTCACAGAGAGGAAAGGAGAGGGAGAGAGAGAGAAACATCAGTGATGAGAGAGTCATTGATCGGCTGCAGCCCACAACTCGGGCACATGCCCTGACTGGGAATCGAACCCTGATCGCCTGGATCCTAGGTCGATGCTCAGCCGTTGAGCCACGCCCGGCCGGGTGGTTAAGAGAGAACTTTTGCCCTGGCCGGGTGGCTCAGTTGGTTGGAGGGTCGTCCTGTTCACTAAAAGGTTGCGGGTTTGGTTCTGGGTCAGGGCACATACGCGGGTTGCAGGTTCAATCCCCAGAGCTCGTACAGGAGGCTACGGATAGATGTGTTTCTCTCACGTCAATGTTTCTCTCTCCCTCTCCCTCTAACATCAATAAAGATTCTTTTTTAGTAAAAAAAGTAAAAAAAATAACTTCAAAGAACCATCTAGTATTCTTTACAGGGGGACCGTTTCTCACACAATCGCCCCCTTCCCTTTTTCGAAAGCCTTTATTTTGTTTGAAGCATGTGCATCAGGCATTTTAAGGTAAAAGATCATTGTTCCCCCGGGTGCTGCCTGGGTCCTGGCAGTGTGGTTTTCTCTGTGCCCCCAGTATCTGTGCGGGCGTGTGAGTCTTTTCCTGACAAGCCATGAGCATGGCCGGGCATCGCCCTCAATCATTAAAGTGGCTGAGCACCTGCCAGCTCGGGGCCCTGTGCTGGGTGGAGCCCAGGGACCCGTCTCCAAGGACCTTACCTGCAGGGGAGGTCACCGAGGAAATAAGGTTGCCGTTACCCTTCAGAGTGACGGCTGCTAAATGGGCCCAGGGGCGATGTGCCTCTAGAGAGATGCCACGCTGCTCCCTGGGCTTTCCCATGGGGAAGTGATTCTTGCGGGCGCCCCGGGCTGCAGAGAGCAGGGCTGGTGTCAGAGCTGTTGCCAGAGACGCGATCTAGGACACCCAGTTTCATTTGAGTTTCAGATATGCAATGAGTAATTTTTAGTCTCAGTGTGTCGCATGGGACATAATTATGCCTTTTAAGAGTGTTCGTTGTATATCTTCAGTTCAAGTTTGACTGGGTGGTCTGTGGTTTTCTTTGCTAGGGCCGGCATTCCTGCGTCCCAGGCCCTAGAGCTCTGCCTGACTCATAGCTTATGCTTGAAAAATGCAGGTGAATGAATGGATAGACACATAAACTTCCATCCTAGGGACAGAACTCATTCTGAAGGAGGCAAATTAATATTACATGTTTTCTCAGTGCCAGGCATGGGGCCAGGCCCTTCCAAAACGATAGTTTTATGGTCCTTTCTTGGAACTTAGCAAAATTAGGCTTTTTTTCCCTAGAAAACACAAGATACTATTTTCTGGTGGAAAAACCAAAATAGCATCTTGTGTTTTCTAGGAAAAAAACCCTAATTTTGCTAAGTTCCAAGAAAGGACCATAAAAAGGTTTCTGTTCTTTAAGACAAACAAACAAACAAAAACTGATTGATTTTGAGAGAAAGAGAAACATAGATTTGTTGTCCCACTTACGAATTCACTGGTTGCTTCTTATATGTGCCCTGACTGGGGAGCGAACCTGCACCCTTGGCACATCCGGACGATGTTCTGACCACCTGAGCTTCTCAGCCAGGGCAAAAGCTGTATTATTTGTGCTCTTTCCAAAAAGTATACAACTTCCCCAAATGGAGATGGACCCATAAACCCTAAAGGCCCTGCTAAAACCCCAGTTTGCCTGGCTAACATCCCCCTGGGGCGGAGTGAGGTGGGACTTCCAAGGACACCGCTGGTCAAGATGTGTTTTTCTCAGGGGATTGCAGTGAGCCCAGGGTCATGGTGGCCGTGGGTCGGTGCCAAGGCTTTGCTGGAGCGCCTCTGTGTGTCCGCGACTCCGCGCGTGTTAGCAGCTGCTGCTCCTCCGGGTGCTTCCCTGCTCACCGGTAAAAACCTTGGCTGGCCACACGTTTGGTGATTCGCTCACTGCTCCTTTCCCGGACGCTGGCTGGCTCTTCTCTTTCTCTTCTAAAACTGTCTCCTAAGAGGTCCTCCCTCAGCCCCAGGGCCTTGGCAAGCACGTGGGGGATTGACTTGAAGACGTTGATAAAGGAAATGGAGTTAAAGAAATAATTACGATTTCAGTGAAATTCAGAGTTGCCGAAGCAAGTCTAAAGCTAATGAATGCGTAAAGAAATGCTGCTGAATGTCCTTAACTATAAGTCAGAACCTCTTTTAGGACTTTAAAAAAAAAGAAACATATTCATCACAAAAAAAGAGAGTTCTATTAGATTACCCTCGCCGCTTCTGTGTCCTGCCAGTGCTGTTCTAGGCGCGTCCCTTGTATTGTCTTACTGAATCCCCGCAACAGGTCTGGGAGGTAAGTATAATCATCGTTCCCATTTTACAGATGAGGAAACTGAGGCTTACGGATTTGAGTAATCTAAAGACTATGCCCAGCATCTCTCAGCTCCCTTACAGGTAAACTGGGCACATAGAACATTTTAAGAGTTGATTGGAGCACACGTCGATTGGACATGGGCAGTCCCGGACAAAGGCTGGTTAGCTGTGCCCAGGGACAGGAGCTTGGGGGGAGGTCTCCAAGGACAAGATGCGGGCGGAAGCAAAGCAAGGGGAATTCGATGGGCGAGCGCTTCCGTCTGGACCAGGCTTTCTGATTCCCGGGCCCGCTGTGTGAGGCTCTAACTCGCTGCCGGGGGCAGCAAACCTTTGTTTTAAGGGCCGGAATATAAGTAGGTTTAGGCTTCGGGGGCCATGTGGTCTCTGTTGCTGTTGTGTCACCGAAGCAGCCACAGACATTACATCCACCCTCAGGAGTGGCTGTGCGCCAATAAAGCTTTATTTGCGCAGACACGTGACAGTCTGGAACGGCCTGCACTGCAGTCGCAATCCCTGCTGTAGGCTGTAAGACCCCCAAACCCTATCTTTTAATAGTTTCGAGCCAGGAGAAGTGCAAGCACTCCGTCTCTGGCCTCCGCCGCGGGAGGCTGATTGGCACCGCCTGTCTCGCCCTAACCCTGAGCCGGGCGGTGAGCACGCGCGAGGAAGGGGCTTTCTCAGAGCTGCGGGCGTGGACAGAAACCCCCATCTGAAGCTTTTACGCCAACATTGCAAATAAACCGAGACCTGGGGGTTGGACTACGGACTTTTCTTAGACGTAGTTGTTGTTTCTGTTTATAAATTATATATGAGAAAAAAGACACTTTCGGCAGGAGCGGGTGGGGAACGGGAGTGAATTCCACGCTCCCTTCCCGCCCGCGAGCAGCGCCGAGACCTGGGTGCCCGTAGGGCAGGAGAATGCGGAGTTACTGGGGCGCCTCCTCGGTAGGACCGCTCGGGGTCCCCAGGTTCCCTCACTCGCCTCCCAGGGGCCCACTCGGGGTGCCCCGGGCCCGCCGCTGCCTGGCGGAGGCTCCCAGACACCGTGTGGAAAAGGCAAGAGCGGCGACCGCCGGCTGCGCCCGGCCGGGGGCCCAGAGGGTTTCAGCCAATTGGCCAGGAGACGGAACGTTTGTGCCAAGAGACATTTTATGGTTTCTCTTTGGGACAGTCGTGACTTTGAGTGGCAAATACTGCACCGGCTCTTAAAACCTCCTTCCCCGTAGTTCCAGAACAAAATACACCCGTTTTCGGGTTTCAACGAAGACCGCAAGCTCAGCGCTTCCTGCTCATATAAAGGACCTAAGTTCTTTTGGTTCAATATTGGAGGTAAGGCTGCCCATCTTCTAATAAAAGTCAACAGTTAGCTGGTTCTAAAGCAGCTTTTTGGCTCAGTCTCTGGTGGTCTGCCGGGGCAGGACCCGGTGACAACCGTGTGCTAAATGAGACACCACCACCCACATCCCGCTCTCCGGGCTCTGGGCATCCAATGTTGGCAAGCGATGCCCACTCAGGAGGTCTGGGGTGGAGCCCATGAACCTACATTTTCCATCAGTGTCTCCAGGTTCTTTCATACAGGTGGGTTAGAGTCCCATTTTAGGAAACCTCGAGGAGGTAGAAACGGGGAGAGGTCCACTGGGTGCGACTTGGCACCTGGGGCGATCGGTAAGGTGTTCCTAAGCGGGACAGCTTCCGGGAGCCAGCGGAAAGAGCAGGGACACACCAGGTGCCGTGGGACCTCGGACTCACAGGTACAATTGCAGTTTGGTGCGCGGGTCACACACGGGAAGGGGACACGTAATACAGCTCCGGACGTGGGCTCCCCAGTGGGCTTTCAGTGCCTCTGTAGCATTTTCTTTGTTGCTATAACAACTAATAAGAAGGCTCAGCTTGACCTCCTTTGTTTCTCTGAGAGGCCTGAAGTGCAAAAGCTTCCTGAGTCCCCCATCCTCACTGAACTCCGACTTGATTTTCCTCGGCAGTCCTGCACTCCCCCGTCGCTGAAGTGCATAGTCCTTGGTGGATTTCAAGCTGGTGGAGACAGGTGAAGGTTGGGACTTTTGCCCTGAGTCTTGACCAACCCTGACTGTTCCCCTCGGTGCCTCTGCGGGGTGTTTCCTCGCTGGTTTACATGGGAAACGAAGAGGCCAAGGGCCAGGTTTAGCCACATGCGTCGTCAGTAAGCAGTTACCTTCCCCAGGCCCAACCAGTGAGGTGCATGTGGGAACCGTCTGCAGCAGGGGTCTGTAGACTCTGGCCAAAGCTGGCACACCCCCTGCCTGTGTAACTAAAGTTTTATTGGAGCGCAGCTGTTTATGTGTTAGATCTGTGCCCGCTCTGGGGGCACAGCTGGGGAGTTGAGTGGTTGTGAGGAGGCCACGTGCCCTCTACAGGAGCACACTCGGCCCCCTAGGTTGGCCAAGTCCTGCTCTATATGACCCCGACCTCAAGAACCAGCGGATTATCCGGGC